TTCTCCTTGCATGATTCTAGTGACAATAACACTCAAGGTACTTGGGAAGTAGCTTTCAGCCCCATAATGGTACTAAGAAGCAAAACCCACAAAGCTAGTGCCATGCCAACAAGGAAGACCCCCACTTTAGCACCAGAACGGGTTGAGAAGTCATCACTAAGAAGAAGTCTCCACCAAATCCATTCCTATACCATGCCAATGCCAACATCAACATCAGCACCAACGCCAACCACAACCACTTTCACAGCGGAAGCCGAAGCTGCTMGCGCCCTCAATTGACGGGCCAAAGAGAAGAACCAAAGCCAACTCCAACACCAGCCTTACTTGTCACCATGGGAAGAGAGTGCCACCCACATTCCCTAGGAACCATTCCAACATTTGGCCTCCATCTAGCTTACATAATAGTCCTGTGAGGAGAGAACCTTGGGGAACACCCCTCAATGTCCAACATCCTTTTGACCTAAATTCATCTTTTGCACCAATCCCTATCTTAGCTAGTAGCGCAAGCCAAACTAAGCCACGCCTAACTTACCTTCCACTAGCCAAGGACTTAACTTAGGACTTGGCCATAGGTTTCCCATCACTCTAAGCACCATTAAACCTATCACCCAAGCACTTGCCTAGGCCTTGGAAGTGAAGAAGTTTGTGGATCAACTGAAGAATCCTCTTTTGCCAACAAYAGAATTAAGTAGCAAGCAAAAGCTAATCTTTGAAAACRACTAGCTTGTAATTATGTAATTATGCAGTATGATTTTTCAATATTTTGATGTAATATTGAAAATCCTCCTTGTCACTATCACAAGTGACAACTTTTTTCGTACCATCAAGTACCTTCTCCATGCCTAGGACATGGGGGAATCCCCATGGCATTATTGTAATTATATAGTATAATTTTTCAATATTTTGATGTAATCTTTTGTTAGAGCACCAAAAGCTTAACTTACTCTTTGAGGGGAGGTAAGTAGTTGAGTGGTGCCAAGACCGTGTAAAGGTTAAACATGAGGTCCCCTCAACACAAACTTGTGTGCTTGTRCTTGCCATCTATTGCAATACAAAACTGCCTTTTACTAATTTGTTTTGTTGCCTTTGTTGTGTTATTACTTTGTTTCATAGGCTTACTCAACACACTGAGTGCCACACAGGGCCCCAACGACTAGCCCTGTGACAAAATGGCAACTAGGGCATTTGAATTCTAGATAGGCAATGGAATAACCTTTTGGCATTTTTGGCCCTTAAGGCAAAGTGCAACTTCAGCAGTCTCGGGGTGGGATTTTGCTAAGGGCTAAAATGTGAATGGACCCGGTCTAGAAGTTCGAACCCAATGTAGCATAAATTCTTCGATTGGTARGATCCTTGTCTCTTTTGGTAAAAGCCCATGAAGCCAAAATCTATATATATACATCTATCTATCCATATATATAGCAAAATGGTCTACGACAGCATGTCTCTCCTCCTTCATTACCCTCACATTGCATTCTCTTTGACTATCTCTACTCTCCCCTTCCCATGACTCCCATTAAGCCATACCACCATTCCCAACACAACTACCTAAAAATATTCCTAGAATCTCTTTCCTAAGATATTCTCCTATAAGTCATTAGGAACATATCATATTACCCCACTCCCAAATCAATTCCTAAAATCTCTCCCCTCAATCTATATCCACTCTTTCTCATTTAAAATATTCATATTAATTAATAAATAGTTAAATATGATTAATAGTTAATTCAACCCATATTCAATGAATATTAAACAGTGTTATTACCAAAAGTTAAAAAATATGATTAGTAAATTACCAAAATTAATAAATATTGTTATTAATTAACTCATCATGACTTTTTAAAGTATTTGGGTAAATGCTGTTATATTCATGTTAATTAACAATATTTTATAGAAATTGAAAACTCTTTAACTAATTTCTATAA